ACACCAAACTGCCTTCCATAGCATTTGTACCACTTTACAATCCCACCAGTAGCACATAAGAGTTCCAATTTCTGCATATCCTTTTTAATATTTATTATTCGCTGTTATGTTGAACTTTGCTACTGCTGATGGAATGAGGTGTTATTTTGTTTTGATTTGCATCTTTTGGATTGCTAGTGATTTCAGACATTTCTTCATGTGTTTCTTGACCATCCAAATGTCCTCTGTTGTGAAGAGTCTTTACATGTCTTTTGTTCGTTCTGTGATTGGATTATCAGTCTTTTCCTTGTGAAGGCCCTCCCTATAGGATTCTGCAAACTTTGATTATGAGATCCTTATCTGAAATGTTGGCAAATGTGTTTTGTCCCCCCCCCCCCGTTCTGTGGGCTTTTGGTTTACTCTGCTGGACAAAGTTTTTGATGCACACAAGGATTTGATTTTGAGAAGCCCATTCGTCAATCTTCACAAGCTTATTTATGCAATACACCAGGGCTTCTAATTTTGTTCCCGTTTTGTCCCTTATGATCTTTATGATTTTGAGTTTTACACCTCGATCTCTGATTCACTTTACGTTGGCTTTTATGTATGATGTGAGATGTGGATCCTGTTTCACTTTTCGTCATCTAGTTTTCCAAGCTCTATTTGTTCAAGAGGCTGTCATTTCTCTATTTCATGGGTTTTATTACCTTGTGAAATAGCATTGGTTGTAAGTTGGTGATCCATAGGTTTTCTTGTGTAACTTTTTTATAGGAAGAGATCTCCAAGTCTTTCCTCCTATGGAAAAGCTTTTAAATGAGTCCCAACTAATCACCTTTTGCTTCACAGCAAAATGCATAACTATTGTGCTATCAGGACTCCTTGCAATTTCTCTGTGTTAATACCTGGCCACAAAATATAGCTTAGCTTATTTGCAAGATAAATATAAACAGTGGTTATAGTCTAGTCTTTGGCATCAAACAAATATTAATTCAAATTATATGTTGGCCTGTTACCAGCTCTATAATACTGAGTAACGCTCTCCAAGACATCAAAGCTATCTCATGAAAGCAGTATACTCCGAAATCATCAGTTCTGTAGGTGAAAGTAATTTCTTCTATGGATTGCAAAGCCAATTTAAATACTTCAGTAAGGGATTCAAAGATATTCAGATGGGTAGGAAAGTCATTACTGAGTTCAGTGTTGGCAAATGCAAGGCAATGCATTTAAGTAGAAAAAAAAATCTACATTAGATTCACAGAGCCATCAGCTGTGTCCTAGTAAGCACCTTTGGCAACAATTTCGACAGTGGCCATAAGCAGGAAGAGTATTGGAAGTAAATCTTAGTGTTTTTGTATCAAGATTACCAACCCTGACCTGGCACTTAAAGAAACCATAGAGTTAATAAAATGCATTAGTTAGTAATGATAAGTGACCAAGAAAGAACCAGACAGAGCCTCTATTTCCATAGTCTGGGAAATAACATCGTTAAATTATAAGAACATGAAAAGATTATGTTGGTACTCCAGATTGCTGCTGTTAAAATAAGATTATTGTGTGCCAGTGGATTCTCACTCTTACTGACCTTACGTGACAGAGTAGAATTGCCTTATAAGCATTTTATTGGCAATAATCTTTACTGGAGTAGATGGGTCTTTTTTCCCATCGAGTTACTTTTAGGTTCAAACAACTTATACGTTGGAACCACTTATAGATTTAAACCACCAAATTTACAGATCTTGTAGAAAAAGCGTTGTATGATTTCTTATGTATAAGGGGATTTAAACATAAAAATTATGTTTATATGTGATTCTTACAGGCCAATGACTGATACTAGAGCTTATGCTAGCTCCATTAGAGCTAATTTAGATAGGTCACAAAGAATGAAATCTGTGTCATTTAATCTTTTGGTTAATATATAAACTCTGATTCAGTATATCTGGAATGGAAAGGTAAATTTTCAGCAGAAAGCTAAACCAAGATGAATAAGCTGGGAGCCCTGCTGGAAGTTCCATGGGCCAGTTCTACACTTTCCTACATGGATGACTCTGTTTGATGGCAACAGGTTTGATTTGGGTGGACATGTAACTGGCCTACACACACACACACACACACCCACACACACATACATACACACACTCATTAAAAAATTTAAAGAAAGAGGCTTTGTAATCTGTTGGTATTTAAAATTTTCTCTACTAAAAACATGTATAGTTGCTTGGTGCCATCATAAATGTTCTTCCCCATTCTAATTCTCATTGACTATCTCATTTGTGGAAATATTTCTAAGTCTCTGATAACGCGACATTCATTCTTCTAGTATGTGTCTAAAAACTTTAGTTATATTTGTCAGGCAGGCCATAAGAAACTATAGAAAACAGCTGATAGGTTGTGGCCTGATCTTCCTACAGAGTATTTTGTGAAAGGCATCTGGCTTCAGTGGAAGCTCCCTCCCTCGTTGAGTCTACAAGTATTCAGTGTTTGGTGAAATGTTGTGTGTGGACAAAGAATTAGAAGTTAGACAACTCTATTCTCCTAGGAAGGTTTTTTTTTTTCTGTAGAGAAACAAATCTGTAAGCAGGACCTTCTAGGTCCCTCTAAGGCTCTGCTGAGGGCTCTGAAAGATGTTTGACAGACAAGCCCAAGTGCTGACAGAAAGCACAGTCAGAGCTAGCTGGACTTCAGAACAGTGAATCTCCCTAACATTTGGTCGTGGGAACTGTACACATTTATAGAGTGTATCTTACATGCATAAAGTTAATCAGTGAGAAAGCAGCAGTATTTAAGATAGACAGGTTCCTTGGCCTCATATTGCATATAGCTAATAGGAAATGCTAGTGGTACAAAGTAGCCTGTAAATAAATAAATATTCACTCATGTTATAAAGGAAACACACATGGTAGCATGGTCACCTAATGAAAAGTAGCCTTGCCAATTTTTTTGTTTTTTGTTTTTGGCATTAAGAAGGAGATTAGCAATAACTGTTTTGTCCATTTATTTATTTCTCCATTTACTTATAATTAAAAGACTCTTGTCTCCTTCTGGACAGTGAGTGTCATGGGATCAGGGACATCATCCTGTTTTCTACCTTCTCTTGGACATGAGGACACTGACTGGCATAAGATGGGCACAGAGTAATTATTTATTCAATACAATTGTTGAGTCAAGTCAGGGAAGGGATAAAGAGAAACTGTCAGGCACCCTGTGCAAGATTAGAGGACCTGGGTAATATTTGATTTGGATTTGTCTTGAAAATCCTTTCCCTTCTTGAGCTAGTACAAGTTTTATTAAAGGAGATTTCATTTCATGTGGCAAAGCTATGGGGGGAAAAGGAGATCTGTTATAAATGCTTGACTAAACTACTTTGTCTTAATTTCTAACAATGACATCTGCTTCTTATTTTCAATGAAGCAGACCAATTGTTTTTAAAAAATACATACTTATTAAAAAATTAAAGAAAACTTGTAAAGCCAGTAGTTATAAAGAATCGGGTAAGTAGTTTTCTCTGAAATTAATAGTCTTCTTCTCTCTCCAAAATTTGAAGGGTCCTACTAGAATACAGAAAGCCAAGTTTGTATTTAAAATTATGACAGATGAAGTCACAAAAACTTATTCTGTATTTGTGGAATGTAAAATCATTCTCCTCTGCTTTATGTTTTATTTCTTTAACCTTAATACTTACTTATAAACCCTTTAGAGCATGGTAATTAATGCTATATAAAACACAATATATATGAATGATTGTATAAATCACATGTAATTAATAAATGGAATAATATGTATGGATGATGAAAGAAAAGGAGTTGCATAACGTAGGCAGTTCAAATCCACTACCAGTTGCTGACTGGGAGAAAGAAGGACAATCTTCTCCCATAATATTTACTGCCTTTGAAACCCTCTAGAGGATCAGCTATGAGTTGGCTTCAAAGGCGCATAACAACGACATCACCAGGAAAATGAGCAAAGGCCACACCAGGAAACCTGCAATAAGTGTACTTTTCTAAAAAAGAGAAACAATGTAAAGAGATGCAAAGAGCCAGAAACTGGCTAAGAGACAGCTTAACCTCTTTAGCAGTCAAGGAATTGCAAAGTAAAATATTGAGAGACCATATTTTATATGAGTTTGGAAATAAATGGCAACAGCCAGAGGAAGCAGGAACTCTGCACCATTACTCTGAGTTATTTCTCCCTCTCAGGAAGCAATTTGAGAGAATAAATTAACAGTTTTATGTATTTATCTTTGGCCTATCAATTCTACTAGGAAGAATATATCTTAATAAAATAATGAGTCTCCCACAAGCTCTGGTCGTCTAGTGGTAACACGCTGCACTGTATGTAATCCCAAAGGTTTGTGGTTGGAATCTATCAACTGCTTTGTGGGAAGATGGGCAATCTCCTCCCATTCCTCTGACAATCCGTTGGAGGAGGGTCAGCTATGGGTCTGTTCTGACTTGATGGTACACAACAACAACAACAACAGCATGTATGAACATCATTTACATAAACACATTATATGTGAAAAATACAGTACTCAAGCACTTTCAGTAAAAGTTTCAGGGCAGCGAGTAGAAGGAGAAGTAGAGAGAGAATAAAGGGAATTTAGGAGAGAAGAGCAATAATTTTGCAATGAAAATTTAAATTAGGGAATCAGTTTATCTTGCTTTGCTTAAACTATCCCTTTTATTGAGAAACGTGTCTACATTCTTATATGTAAATATTAAAGAATATAAAACTCAGGTTAGAACCATCTCCTAGCCAACCCTCCATTGTGTTTCTGAGGCTCTAAGTCAAACAATGAGAGATTGCTCATCTTTCTCCTGTAGGGCTGCTGGTGGATTTGATCTACGAGAGAGAAGTTCAACTCCCTACAGACTAGGCCACTAGAACCGTGTAGATCTTAACTGTAAACACAGAGACAGCTGGAATAATAGCAAAGTTGAAATTTACCCATTGGAAAATGGTGGTGCAATATTTATCATTGAGTAACTGGTACTCTTTTCAAAGTTTTTCTCCTTTTCTTCCAGCTGATTACAAGGAAAGCTTTAATACGATTGGGAACATTGAAGAAATTGCATATAATGCTGTTTCCTTCACCTGGGATGTGAATGAAGAGGCCAAGGTAAATGAAAAGTTGTTGTCGTACCTTTTAAATTATGTGTACATTCTCTGCCAATAATTCTTTTGCAAAAACTTCTAAAGGCAGGGAAGCATCTGTTAGCTTGAGCTAGGAAAAAAAGGAAATGACTCTATTTTCTCTCCCTAGAAGTCACACAAGTTCAGTCAGTCAGTTAAATTGCTGATTTGAGCATAAGAGAGCAAGGCTCACCTTTTCTCTGTGACCTCCCAGAGGAACAGCTAAGTAGCATTTCCTCCAGACCTCCTCTCCCCAATCTCCTTTTAGCACCAGGACCTGGACAGGATATCCCTTTCTACCTATGCTGCAGACTCTCCCAAACACTACTGTAAGATCTCTCCATGGTGCATGCAAAGGCAGGAAATATCTTGGAGCTAATGTCTTCTTCATAGCTAACATTACAGGTCTTCTAATCATCATCATCATCATCATCATCATCATCATCATCATCATCTCTTCCAGGATCAAGTTTGAAGGAGGGTTTCAGGGACATTGATGTAGCTTTTAGAGCTCTGAAAGCAGCTGCAGCAACTTCAAGACACTTCTTTCATGAAGTCTGCTGCTCTGTCTTATTTCTCTGGTTAAATATTTTTAAGCAGTACAATAGTCTGAGGAGTACAACAGTACAAATGTTTTGAGAAGCCAATATGCCCAAGGAATATACCAGTGAAATCTCTGGCAAAACTTGCCATTGGGTGGCTTGTCCCACCATTGAACTGTTTGTGTAAGAAAGTTCCAGTTCCAGTTGTCACTGAATGGATTCTGACTCATGATAGCCTCACAAGGTCATGTGTGATGAGTAGAACTGTGTGTCACAGGGCTTTCAGTGAATGGTTTCTCAGGGGTAGCATTGCTGGCCTTTCTTCCTAGGTCCTTCTTTTCGGGTAGACTCAAACCTCCAACCTTTCAACTGACAGCTGAGTGCTTACTCTTGTACCACCTGCTAAGAGTTTGTTAAGAAAATAGTATCAGTGATACCTAGTTAGACACAAATTTCCTTGATTTCATGGAAATCTCAAAACTTCTGGCTATCTGCTGTATTTCTTACCTTCTGATCTTTATTGTGCATGTAAGTAAAGTTCCAGGAGAAGGTAAGCTTGTTTTCTGCTTCAGTTATGTACCATCTAGAGCAGTGTTAGAAGACATTGTCTTCAGATGAAATCAAAAGGTCAATGTCAACAATCCATTCAATGCTTTATTGTCTGTGAGCAAGGGGCAGGTTTGGTGAGAAAGGAAGTGGGTTGATAGTTTGCAAACTTGACTTACAGAAGATGATGAATTGCTCAGTGTCTCATTTCACTCATGTATTAAGCAATGTAAGTAAAATTGGCTTAAGGCCCAAGAAGGGTATTCCAAATGGACAAATAGTGAAAAGAAAGCCTCAAGAAAGTTCCAGTGTTTCAGCCCATCAAGGGAAGGAGGTAGGCCTTGCAACAGATGGGAGCTTAGGTCCCACATAGAACAGTAGGGCTTTTGTATTTAAGATTCACTTTGCCTCCACTTAAATTTCCTCACTAAGAAAATTCTGTCTTGGTTATCTAGGGCTGCTCTAACAGAAGTACCACAAATTAAAGACTCTTGTGCAATGTACAAACAGAAATTTATTTTCTTACTGGTTTGGTTTTTTTTTTCCTGTCAAGGAGAATATGACTCATAGCAACCCTGTGAATGACAGATCTGAACCCTATCCTATCCTGTGCCATTCCCATCATCTCTTGACATACTCAAGTTTACGAGGCTAGAAGTCTGAAATTAGGCTATTGACTCTAAAGGAAGGTTTTCTCTCTGTGTCACTGTGAGAGGAAGGTAATTTCTTCAAGATATCATGTGTTTTAGCGTCAATCTTCCCCTGGGTCTAGGAGGTTATCACCATAGGGACCCAGTTCCAAGTATGTTTTCTGCTCCTGTTTCTTTTTTCTTAGTACTCATTTCCCTCTGATCTTTCTTGCTTGTTTAATTCCTTTCATATCTCAAAAGAGATTGACTCAAGGTGCAGCCTTTAATCTTTATATTTGTAACACCATAGAAGTTTGGGTTACATTACATAGGATAATTACATCCAACCATAAAATGAAGGAGAATTACATAATACTGTGATTCATGATCTATAGCCAAGTTACTATATATTATCTCCTCAGCAACCTCATCCTCCTTCTCCATATTTCATAGCCTAGGCTGGCTGCATGCTTTCTCTCCCCTTTCTTAGTTCTGTCTGCACTTTTCCTGTGCACTGGTCAATTCTTGTTCCATTTTGCCTGTGCACTAGGTGCAGTATTTGGCTAGAGTTTGAATCCTTAACAAGTCATCTGACTTGTCTGTGTTTCAGTTTCCTCATTAAAAACAAAACAAATAATAAGACTTGCCCAAATTCTTCTGCTATCCCAAATATCAAACCATATGTGAGATGTATAATAATGAAATGCTCTGGGGAAGGGTGGCAGGGAACCACTAATATACTTCATGGGACAGGAACAGTGGCAGTACTAGGCAGGAGTGGGCTGTACTGGTGACATTGTCCAAGGAAGTGACACCAAAATGACTGCCTACAAAATTTTTCTGTATTGTTTCAATAGAGTTGTAACTTTTTTAAAAAATAAAAGTACTTCTATAACTAGGGATACTTTTCTCTGGGACTTTGGCTCTTCTCTGCATCTGATGGCAGTCCTGATAAGCATGTGTGTGAAGTTTTTGAGGTAGTGTCTCATGTGTATTACTGCTTTTCCCCCTCAAGAACGGATGTCCTTGAGCCTTTGACGAGGGTGGAAGTCCGCTTAAAGGCGTGGCTTTAAAACTCCACAGGGAGAGGGGATGGGACTGCTGGCTGGGGCCTGGAACTTCCACTCTGGGAATTTGGCTGTTCGCTGCATCTGATGGCAGTCCTGATGGGCATGTGAGAGAAGTTTTTGGGGTTGTGTCTGATGTATACTATTGATCTTTCCCCCTCAAGAGTGGATGTCCTTGAGCCTGTGCCTAGAGTGGAAGTCTGCACAAAGGCATGGCTTTCAAACCCCTCAAGAAATGTATTAATTTTTGAATGAATATTCCTTAAATGAAACAGAAATCTTTTGTCTATTTGCTGAACTGAACAACTTGGTGTTGCTATGATGCTGCACACTGTTGCATAGTCTTGTCAAATACCGTAACAGTTATCTGTTATGTACAGTGTTTGAATGAGCTTTCAGAATGATTTATGCTGGGAAGCAGGAGTGGCATCTACTTCCTAAACTAGATGCCTCTGGAAAATCTACAAACTCTCGAAACTCTACATATTCTCTTAACTAGAAATGTACAGAAATGATGTTAGTTTTAGAACAGAGTTCTGTATAGAAATTATGTTAGTTGTAGAACAGAGTTCAGGTCTTTTGTGCAAAACTTATTCTCAGTTGTATTTGACTTGATGATACTTAACCACTACTAAATTAAACTGTTGTTGTTGTTGTTATTGTTATGTGCCGTCGAGCTGCTTGTGACTCATTTCGACCCTATGTACAACAGCACTAAACTCTGCTCTGTCCTGTGCCAATCTCACCATCTCTGACACATCCATCCCAATTACCCCAGTCACTGAATCAATCCACCTCATAGAGGGCCTTCCTCTCCTGCGCTGTCCCTCCACCCTCCCAAGCATGATGTCCTTCTCTAAGGACTGGTCTCTCCTCACAACATGTCCAAAGTATGTTATACGGAGCCTCAGAATCCTTGCCTCCAAAGAGCCACCCCGTTTAACCCTTTCCAGGATGAATCTGTTTGTTTTCCTAGCAGTGCATGGTACTCTCAATACTCTTCTCCAGCACCACAGCTCAAAGGCATCAATTCTCCTTCTATCCTCCTTGGTCATTGTCCAACTCTCTGATGCATAACAAGTGATTGCGAAGACCATAGCCTGTATCAGATGCACCTTAGTCTCCAGAGAGACACCATTGCTCTTCAATACTTTGGAGAGGTCCCTAACAACAGACTTTCCCATGGCAATGTGCCTTTTAATTTCCTGGCTACTGGTGCCAAGAGTGTTGACTGTGGAGCCAAGCAAACTAAAGCTGTGAACAATCTCAATCTCTTCACCATCTATCCTGATGCTGCCAATTGGTCCAGTGGTGAGAATCTTTGTCTTCTTGACATTGAGCCTCTATCCATATTGGATTAAATTAAACTAGTGCTGTTTATATCTGGAGGAACACTCTTCCACTTTGTAAATCACTCTTTGTCAATGTGCGGTATGAAGTAACTTGGGTTGCTGTGATGCTGAACCTTGTAACACTGGGGTATCAAATACCAGAGTGATTTATCAATGTGGACAGTGTTTGTTGGAGCTCCCAGTTTTAAAACAGGTTTGGAAGCAGGAATGGCATCCACTTTCTAAACCACATGTCTCTGGAAACTCTATGAACTTGGAATTGAGCATAGTTATGGAAAGGCATTGGGTCTTTTGTTCACAGAGTCGCTATGAGTCACGCTTGACTTGACAGCTATCAACAACAACAACGCAACTAGTTATAATGGTAAAAAAGCATTCCCTTATCAATGAATCTATAAGACTAATTTACTTTTTGAACTTTGTAGTATGCTCTGGCCAGAGCTGTCATTATTTCTGAACCACAATGATATTTCAAATTATGTGGTTTTGTCTGTATGGGATATAAACACACTTGTTATTTTTGTTGCTTTCAGTGATTTTATAATTGCTGATTTTGTAAGACTTTCTGGTGCTTTAGCTATATGTGTGATAAATAGTATTTGTGAACCTATATCAATATCTTTTTGGAGACAAGTGGGGAAAGGCTTTTTGGCTGAGTTACTTATAGTGTGACTATTAATGTAGAAATATTTTACAAAAAGGGTTTTGCAGTATTCATATAAGTGAATAAATATGACATTTAACCAAGTTAAAACTGTATCACATATTATTCTGTAATTAAGATTGATAAATAAACATAATTCTTTTGTCACAAGGCTTGTGGTAAGGTGGGGCAGAGGGGTTTACATCC